GAGGAGGGCCAGGGTCCCAGTCTGCTGGTAGAGGAGGGCCAGGGTCCAGTCTGCTAGTAGTGGCGGGCCAGCGTCCAGTCTGCTGTAGAGGAGGGCCAGGGTCCCAGTATGCTGGGTAGTGGAGGGCCAGGGTCCCAGTCTGCTGGTAGTGTAGAGGCCAGTCCCAGTCTGCTGGTTAGAGGAGGGCAAGGGTCCCAGTCTGTTGGGTTAGTGGAGGGCCAGGGTTCACAGTATGCTGGTAGTGTGTGGAGGGCCAGGGTCCAGTTGCTGGTAGTGTAGGGCCAGGGTCCCAGTCTTGCTGGTAGAGGAGGGCCCACGGGTCCCAGTATGTTGGGTAGTGGAGGGCCGGGTCCCCCAGTCTGCTGTAGTGTAGGGGCCAGGTCCCAGTCTGTGGGTGTGGAGGGCCAGGGTCCCAGTCTGTTTGGTGAGTGGAGGGACAGGGGTCCCAGTCTGCTGGTAGAGGGAGGGCCCAGGGTCCCAGTCTGCTGGTAGTGGAGGGCAAGGGTCCCAGTTCTGTTGCGTTTAGTGGAGGCCAGGGGGTCCCAGTCTGTGGTAGAGGAGGGCCAGGTCCCAGTTGCTGGTAGAGGAGGGCCAGGGTCCCAGTTGTTGGTAGTGGAGGCCCAGGTCCCAGTCTGCTGGAGAGGAGGGCCAGGGTTCCCAGTATGTGTTAGAGGAGGGCCGGGTCCGTTTGTGGTAGAGGAGGGGCCCAGGGTCCCCGAGTCTGGTGGTAGAGGAGGGACAGGGTCCCGTCTGAGTCAGCGGAGGGCCAGGGTCCCAGTTCTGCTGGTAGAGAGGGCCAGGGTCTCCAGTCTGCTGGTAGAGGAGGCCAGGGTCCCAGTCTGCTTGTAGAGAAGGGCCAGGGTCCCAGTCTGCTGGTAGAGGAGGGCCAGGTCCAGTTGCTGGTTTAGAGGAGGGGGCCAGGGTCCCAGTCGGCGGTAAGAGGAGGGCAAGGGTCCAGTCTGCTGGTAGAGGAGGGGCCAGGGGTCCCCGTCTGTTGGAGTGGAGGGCCAGGTCCAGTCTGTGGTAGAGGAGGGCCAGGGTCCCAGTTCTGCTGTAGAGGAGGGCCAGGGTACAAGTGCTGCTAGTAGTGGAGGGCCAGGGTCCCAGTCTGATGTAGAGGAGGGCCAGGGTCCACAGTCTGTGGTATGAGGAGGGCCAGGGTCCCAGGGTGTAGAGTGGAGGGCCAGGGTCCAGTTCTGCTGGTAGAGGAGGGCCCGGGTCCAGTCTGCTGGTAGAAGAGGGCCAGGGTCCAGTCTGCTGGTAGAGGAGGGCCAGGGTCCAGTCTGCTGGAGAGGGGCCAGGCGTCCCGTCTGCTGGTTAGAAGGGGCAGGTCCCAGTCTGTGGTAGAGAGGGCCAGGGGTCCCAGTCTGTTGGTAGAGGAGGGAAGGGTCCCAGTCTGTTGTTAGAGGAGGCCAGGGTCCCAGTCTGCAGTAGTGGAGGGCAGGGGTCCAGTCTGTTGGTAGAGGAGGGCCAGGGTCCCAGTCTGTTGGTAGAGGAGGGCCGGGTCCCAGTCTGTTGGAGAGGAGGGCCAGTGAGTCCCATCGTTGGGTAGAGGAGGGCCAGGTCCAGTCTTGCTGGTAGAGAGGGCAAGGGGTTCCCGTCTGTTGGTAGAGGAGGGCCAGGGTTCCCAGTAGTTGGTAGAGGAGGGCCAGGGTCCCAGTCTGCTGGTAGAGGAGGGCCAGGGTCCCAGTCTGTTGTAGAGGAAGGGCCAGGGTCCCAGTCTGCTGGTAGAGGAGGGCCAGGTTTCCAGTCTCTGGTAGAGTAGGGCCAGGGTCCCAGTCTGATGGTAGAGGAGGGGCCAGGGTAGTCTCAGTCTGTTGGTAGAGGAGGGCCAGGGTCCCCCAGTCTGATGGTAGAGGAGGGCCAGGGTCCCAGGTCTGTTGGTAGAGGAGGGCCAGGTCCAAGTCTGCTGTTAGAGGAGGGCCGGGTCCCAGTCTGTTAGTGGAGGGCGGGTCCCAGTTCTGTTGGTTAGAGTAGGGGGCAGGGTCCCAGTCTGCTGGTAGTGGGGGGCCAAGGGTACCAGTCTGTGGTAGAGGAGGGCCAGGGTCCCAGTTGCTGGAGAGGAGAGCCAGGGCCCAAGTCTGCTTGTAGAGAAGGGCCAGGGTCA